TCAATTCTATCAAATAATGTTTTTGTTTCTCCTTCTTCTTTGTATTATTCAAATACTTGGCAATCAAATTTATGATCATTCATATTAATTTTGTCAAAGTATTCTAATTATGGTCTATTTTAGTTTTGTAGTGATCGTTGCAAGCATAAAAGTTTAACATTTTTTTTAATTATTTGAGGCAAATCGTTGCTCATTAAATCAGTTATAATGGCTAAAGAGTCTTAGCTCTGTTTAAGTTTAGTTTAGTTAAGGAATTATTCTTGTGCTTGAATAAGCTGGTTGTAGACATACTAGCAGACTTATGATAAGGTTTCCATATTTAATAATAGAAATTTAATAACATTAATTCAAAAATGGTATTGCTTCTTTCATAGCTACTTGTGCTGAAGTGTACAATGCTAATTGTATAAGAAATGAATGAATTCAATCTAATTATGATTAAAGTGCCTAATTTCAATGACCAGTATATGATCCATCCATACTAAGACATACTTGGCTAAAAATGTCAGGAACTCAATCCCAAATCAAAAAAGATTAATGGATAGTATTTTAGTCTTGGAGTAAATAATCTCGTCGTGTTTTATGATTAGTCCATCTCCGACAGACAACTTTTCTAAAATCTAGAAGATCTCTATATGGTTTTGAATACTGAAAAAATAAAGTTTGGAGTGGTAATAGGACACATTAAAGAAGGAAAGACGCTCTAGGAATTCAACACAATCTATAAAAAGGTTTAAGACTAAAAGAGAAAATACTTTTAAGGACATATTTTTCGGAAATTTAACTCAGATAGTCTATAAGACCTAGTCTAAGACTTCTAATCCTGGTAAAAAAGAAAAGATGTCAAAGCTTAATTTGCATGGCCTAATATAACCTATGTTAAATCTATTGATTTCTCAAAAATATAAAAGGGATAGCTGACACCAAATCATGACCATCTAGCATTGTTCTATTCAGTAGACTGCATAAGATCTAGAGGAATTCAGGAAATGTTCAATTTCATCGTCAAGCAATATCCTAATGTGAAAAAGCTTACATATGAAGCAGTAGAAATAACAAATAATATCTTATTTGGATCTTATGGAAGCCTAGTGCCTCAATTTTTCTTTTACCCCAAACAAAATCATAAGAAGCCAATGAGGATGAACTTGAAACCAAGAGCAGACTTGTATATTGAATACCTAAAAAATAATTCTAAATCTTTTCAAGATCATTTGAAATAGGCAGCTGAAAACAGACTCAGAGTTAAAAGATAGGGTTATTTTTGCGGAGTCAACTTTTGTGAAGATATTCATCATAACGCTTCATTAGCATATTAATATATGAGATTCCACTTTGTTGATTATGATAAGATAGTTCAACTCGATGTCGATTCTGTATCAACCTACAAAGGCTATAGATATGAAAGAAATCCTGAAGAAGATGAGAGATTTCTCAATGCAAGAATGTTTAAAATCAATAAAGCTGGATATTTATAAAACATTGATGTAAAAGCACTTGCTGTTGCAGAGCCTCTCAATGATGATGGAATTGATGACTTTTGGAGCTTTATGAGTGAAGGTTTCATGCCAATTGGTCGTATGTCCTTCATGACTTATCCTAGGTTTATGAGAACTGTCTCTACTGATGTAAGCAGAATGAGATATTTGTAAAATCCCAGAATGTAAGATGTGATTAAATATTTCACAGGCTGGTTCCACTGTGCGGAGGAGCCCCGCTTTTATTTAGATGCTCATACTCCTCGTATCATGCTGCCAAACTCAGATACTGAGTATTCTACTCTTGTCTAGACCTTAGGAGCTGACTATTTGCCTCCTTCAGCGAAAGGTAGAATCTATGACATCATGATTTAGATAGTCACTCCTAAAGAAAAGGATGTAGGCATTTGGATAAAAGATTATAAAAACTGGAATCTTATAATAAACTGTATGGAGCAAATTATTAAAAAGACTAAATACAAAATCCTTCTAGCAGGTAGTTAGCCACCAGATCACCTGAAAAGCACTGGAAGAATTATATCTATACCACATATCGAAGCAAGGGAATTCTTAAAATACCTCGAAAAAACTAAGATTGTCTTAATACCAGCAGTTTACGATGCTTCCCCAAGAATCATCACCTAAGCATTCTATTTGAACACAACAGTCATTTTGAATCGTTAAATCATTGGAGGCTGGCATTACATTAATGATCAAACTGGATCATTTTTCGATAATAAAAATGATGTTGTTGACGTCATCAATGAATAGATAAAAAGATTTAACAATAAGGAAATGAATCCTAAAGATTGGTACAAAGATTTTGCTTATGATAAGTACGCTAAAATTCAAAGTTTCGTGGGAATACTCAGAGAACAGAACTTCTATGATAATTATGATGATTTTGCTATTTGATAGTTGATTTATTGATTGCAAGAATTGAATTAGTTTCTTTAGAATAAGATTTATTTTACTTTAGTTCCATTGAGAATGATTTTTTCCATTAGGGGTTTTGGGGTTTTGGGGTTTT